GGTGTGGTCCTGGTGACACAGGGGTGGGGTCCTGGTGATACAGGGGTGTGGTCCTGGTGACACAGGGATGTGGTCCTGGTGATACAGCGGTGTGGTCCTGGTGATAGAGGGGTGTGGTCCTGGTGACACAGGGGTGTGGTCCTGGTGACACAGGGGTGGGGTCCTGGTGATACAGGGATGTGGTCCTGGTGATACAGAGGTGTGGTCCTGGTGATAGAAGGGTGTGGTCCTGGTGAAACAGGGGTGTGGTCCTGGTGACACAGGGGTGTGGTCCTGGTGACACAGGGGTGGGGTCCTGGATGAGGTAACCCAGTGTCTCCTCACATGTCAGTTAGCAAGTGCTCTTCACCTGGCGGGCCAGCTTATCGCCGGGGCAGACCTACCCTAGAGTCACTAACTCCCTTTTTTTCTTGCTTATTTGGATTCTCCTATTTCACATTGGAGGGTTTGCAAGGTAATGGCCTGGCCAGTGGCCCAATGGGTAACAAGTGATAGAGCGAATGTTAACGAGTTCAGGAGAAACTGGAATCTCCATCAGCTCGTGGAGAGTTGCTCTTCCGTGGAGCCCAGGCCACCTGTGTCCTTGTGCCCTTGCAGGACGTGCAGTACTCTGACATTGACTACATGGAGCGGCAGCTGGACTTCACCCTCAGCCCCAAGTTTGCTGGGTTTCCCGATCTGATCACACGCATGAAGAACGACGGGATGCGGGTCATTCTCATCCTGGTGAGTCCTCTGTGAGCATGTGGGCCACTCAGGAAGTTTGAGGGACATGTGACATCTCTGCCTAGCATGTCGTGTGCATGTGGATCGTATATAAAGGAAATAGATATGAATTGTCTGTTATTGGTTAATCTTCTGTGAGCGTGTGTCACACATGTACTGATGCGACATGGGCCATCTTTACCTGGGGAGAATCTTTGAATGTCTACGGGAAGAAAATCTTCCATGATGGGGTTTTAGCTGGTAGTAAATTCATAACATTCTCGGAATTCCCAGAAGTCCTCAGTCCAGGTGGAAACGGGGTTGTCTATGAGAGGTTCTCCTTTGCTCTGTCCTTCCTCGGGCTGTGCTTTCTCTACCTGACCTGCGTTTGGTTCCAGGACCCCGCCATTTCTGGCAATGAGACCCAACCCTACCCGGCCTTCACCCGGGGAGTGACGGAGGACGTCTTCATCAAGGACCCGAGTGGGGACATCGTCTGGGGGAAGGTAGGGCTCAGTGGTCCCCACCATCCCAGCCTGCTCTCGTGCACATTGATTTAGAAACTCTGCTTTAGGCTCTAATGCTTTAAAAGCTCCTCACCATAAGATCTGCCGGCCAACAGTGAAGGACTTTATTCCCTACAAAAAACTTCTTTTCCACTTTTCTAATATGATTTGAATGAAAGTTTCCAAAGCAAATTAATTTTTATTTTCTCATTAATCTACAGTCCCCCCACAGCACTAGTCCACAATGTAGCCACAACGTAATGCACATATCCCACTTCCTCCCTGTAATTCCGATTTCCATTAATCATTAAGGACTTTTTAAGGAAGGCAGATATGCTGTGGGACCCATTTTCCTCCATGTGACTCTCCTTGAAAAGCCAACTGTTATTATTACCTCTGGGGTTTATAGTTTCCTACGAGAAATAAAGGAATCATGGAGTGCATAGCCTTTTCAATAGTCTCTTCCCTTTTCCTCCTGCAGGTCTGGCCTGATCTTCCTGGTGTTGTTATCAACAGCTCCCTAGACTGGGACAGCCAAGTGGAGGTAAAGACCTGTGGGGTGCAGTCAGGTTGCCAGGAGGGGGCCCTTGTACCCATCCAGGGAGTCCATGTCTTGTCTCTTGCGTGTATGATCACGTGGTATGTCACCCATGACTCCTGCCTGGGTAGCAGGTCCAGGGCGACCACACCACAACCACAAAATGCAAGGAATTCACAGAAATTAAAAAGCACACGCGTATACATGTGAGAAGAGCCCAAGCTGGGGAAGGAAGGACATGGTGTTTGAGAGCATGTGGTGGGTTCTGGTCAGTAACCTTAGACAGGTGACCACACTGCTGGTGGAGGACCAGGAACACGAGGGTAGGACAATCCTGCAGAGCTAAGAAAGGGCCTCCTCAGTGGGGAAGGCAGAACCCTGTAGGTTTGGGGCCCTCAGAGTGGCCCCCTGTCAGCTGAGAACACCAGCTGGGGAGACCCCACTGTGACCTGAGGCTCTGTGGGTTCCTGGTTTCTGCCTCACTCGTGACAACAACGGCCCCTGGCTGCTCCTGCTCTGCGGCTCCCCTCAGCACCCTCCTCTGTGAGCAGGACCCCTGTGTCCTGGTGTCCTTCCATCCTCTTCCTTCTGATCCTGTCTTGCCTTTTACCAGGACCAGGTTCCCTCTCACGTCCTAGTCACTTCATGAGAAAGGAAGACCCTGGGGGGCATAGTCCTCGCTGTCTCTCCCCTCCCCAGCACTGTTTCCCCTGTAAATCCAGAAGATCACTTCATAATTCAGATGCCCCTGTTTACTGACACGCCCGAGGCGTCCTACCACCCCTGTCAGTCTGTCACCATGTGGCCTGCATGTCACCGTGGTGCTGGAAGCTCGGTCACTGGTACTTCTCACTCCATCAGGGCCACCCAGGGCGGACACTTTGAGCAGAGCGCTCAGAGCTTCAGGCAGGAGCCAAGGGGTGGGCATCTCGTTTGTGAGGTGATGATTTGGGGTGTGGACTGTTAGAGTCAAGAGAAGGAGTATTCTGGGGGCTCCCAAAGCTGTGTCCCGGTGGGACTGGCCTGTCCCCTGTGTGCACCGAGTGTCCACTCCGTCAGGAGCAGGCTGACTGGCCTTCTGTCCTGGCCCCGCAGCTCAGGGTGTAGCAGAGCCTGCGCTCTCGGTCACCCTGCTTGTTCTCTGGAGGCTCGTGTGGACGGAGGAACTTGATTCCTGTTTTACAGCTGTACCGCGCCCACGTGGCCTTTCCAGACTTTTTCCGAAATTCCACTGTCACGTGGTGGAAGAGGGAGTTGAGAGAAATGTACAACCACCCGGAGAACGCGAGCAAGAGCCTGAAGTTCGACGGCATGTGGATTGTAAGTGTGTGTGTGCGCGCACGCGCGCTCGTGCTGAAGGGTGTCTGTGGGTGCATGTGTGAGGTGTGTGTGTGTGAGGGGTGTGTGCCCATCTGTTAGGTAGGCCTGTCCCTTTGCATGGAGTATGTGATGTATGTGTCTTTGTGACGCCTTGTCCTGTAAGTGTGTGTGAAGAGTTGTGTCTGGGTCTGGTGTTGTCTGTCTGTGGATTATGTTGTCTACACCTATGCTGTGTCTTTGGGCTGTATGTGAAAGTTGTGTCTGAGGGGAGTTTTTGTGGGGTCTGTGTGTACGTAGAAGGTTGTGGAGTTTTTGTGTAAGTATATGTGCGATAAGATCTAGTGTGTGTGTATATGGGGTGTGGGTGACATACATATGTGCGCGCGCACACACACACACACACACGTAACATGAAGGGAGCTCCAGTGGCCTAGGGTCAAAAAACTGCTGCAATCGCAAAGGCCTGAAGTTCGAGCCCACCAGGTGCTCTGTGGGAGAAAGATGAGCAGTCTTCCTCCGTGTGGTCAACCGCCTCTGAACGCCTGCTGGCGGGTCAGCTGTGGGTCGGTTCTGACTTGATGGTCCACATCAATAACAATAACCACAACCACAGCCATGTGGTTGACCATTCCTTCATTTATGTTCTCTGCTTCTGTGTGTATATGGCACACGTGTGTGTGATGTTATGACCTGTATTTATAGAGAGAACATCATGTGTGTAGCAGAGATGTGTGTATGAACTTTTATGTATCTTTATGGACCTGTGTGGTGTCTGTGGGGGTGTGTGCGCGCACAAAGGCATCTACATGGATGTCGCCTATCTGTGTGTATCCCTGTGTAAGTGTGTGTGCATCAGGGTGAACTTTGCCTGTGCATACATCTGGATATTGCCTGTCTGTGTGTATCTGTGTGTGGTGTGTGTCCATGTACATCTACGTGGAGGTTGCCTCTCTGTGTGTATCTTTGCATGTCTCTGGTGAAGCATATGTGCTCCTGACCTTTGGTCAAGGGGATAATCATTGTCCTCTAGTAGGAAGGTGAGCAGCTCTGAGCCGCCCATGACACCCCCTCCTGTGTGGTGACTACAGCTCTCTTGCTGCAGATGCCTTCCCCCTCCCTCCCCCGCCCCAGCCACTGCATCCGGCTAGTGAGCCTTTGTCACAGTGGTGTCAGGCCAGTGATCCCCCAGGCTGGTGGCTGCCGTGACTGCTGGACGGTGAGCACACTGTCCTCTGTGTCCTGTCTCTGGACAGGCCCCTCTGAAAACAGTCTCCCTCTGTGTTTGCACTTCAGGACATGAACGAGCCCTCGAGCTTTGTCAACGGGGCTGTCCCCCCAGGCTGCAGGAACTCCACCCTCAACCACCCTCCCTACATGCCAGGTGAGGACCCAGCGCTCCACTGCCCAGCACGGCCATGGGAAAAGTGACCCTGATGTTATCCCAAAGGGCTGGGTGTACCCCAACTTATTGGTGTGTCCTCACTGCTGCAGCATTTTATTGGGCCCGGCGTCAAAGACCCCATCAGCGCTCTGCCGCCTGGTGCATGTGCACCGCTGGGGAGACGGGTGAATTTCCAGAGTCTGACTGAAAGGACTGGGTCATAGTAGCGTGGCCAGAGCAGGCTCCAGCCAGAGCTCTCACCTGTCAGAGGCCTCACCGGAGGGCACGGGTTACAGATGGGCAGAATAGCTAGGTTTCCCCTGGTCATCAGGTCCCTGGACGTGGATGTTATGGTCCCGTAGATGACTACCATCAACTCGATCCTGACCTGCAGTCACCCTGCAGGACGCAGCAGAATGGCCCTGTCTCGTCTCCAGGGCTGGAATATTCATAGAAGCAGGTGGCCTCCACCTTGTCCCAAGAAGCAGTTGATGGGTGTGCACTGCCTATCAGTTAACTATCAGTTAGCAGACACACACGTACCCCTCAACTGCCCAGCCCCTTTGTTCCTAGATAGCCTGTGATCTGTGTTGTCTCAACAAAATGCTCAAAGTCTCCAGACCTCAGTGTCCTAAGCTGTGACAGGATAGTGATATATTCGTCCCAGAGTTAGTCCAGGACCTTGTGACATGATTTCGTGTCGAAAGTTAAGACCAGGATGCAGTCCCATGAGTGTCTTGCATGTAGACTCTTCTCTGGGTCCTGGACTTCTGGAGGGCCATGCAGGAGAATGTGGGGTCCAAGCCCCTCGGGTCCTGTGGTAGCTGGTGAGAGCTCTGTCCAGGTCCTGGGAGGAGATTCTGGGATAAGGCAGGCTCGGTGGCTTTCACGTCCTCTCCTCTCCCCTCAGCTCTGGAGGCCAGGGACAGAGGCCTGAGCAGCAAGACCCTGTGCATGGAGAGCCAGCAGGTGCTGGCGGACGGCTCGGTGGTGCGTCACTACGACGTGCACAACCTGTACGGCTGGGCGCAGACCAGGCCCACCTACGAGTGAGTCCACGCGCCTCATGGCCAGCTCGCAGCGAGGGGGCAGTCAGGGAGGCTGCGCTCTCACCCTGTCCAATGACTGAGAAGAGTTTTACAACAATGGTCACATAGTAGACATCATTTACAGGCACATCTCAGAGGTACTGCTGGCTTGGTCCCAGACACTGCCGTTAAGACAATATCGCAGCAGGGCGAGCCACCCAGTGTTAGCTCTCAGGGATTATAAGTGCAGGGTACCCCTGTAGTCTAGGAAATGTGGTAAGATCAGTCGTAATTTCAGAAGATCAAAGAATACAGCCTTCAGTATGAATTGCATCTCAATGTCAAGAAAGCAAAAATTCTTACCACTGGAACGATAGGCAACATCATGATCGATAAAGAGAAGATTGAAACTGTCAGCAGCTTAGGCTTACTTAGATCCACAGTCACACCCTTGGCACCAGTTATGAGGTCTGGAGATGTATTGCAATGGGAAAGTCTGCAGTCAGAGACCTCTCCAAATTGTTGAGGAACAGTGATGTCAGTTTGAGGACTAAGGTGTGTCTGATTCAGGCCATGGTCTTTCTGATCACTTGCTGTGCATCTGAGAGCAGGACAGTGCATAAGGATGACAGAAGAATTGACACCTTTGAGCTGTGGTGTTGGAGAAGAGCACTGAATGTAGACGGCCAAAAGAACAAACAGGCATGTCTTGGAGAAGGTGCAGCCAGAGTGCTCCTCGGAAGCAAAGCTTCATCTCACATCCTTTGAGCATGGTGCTAGGAGAGGCTATTCCTTGGGGAGGGACATCGTGCTTGGAAAGGCGGAAGGACAGCAAAGGAGAGAAAGTCCCTCAACCAGGTGGATTGACACAGTGACTGCTGCAATGGGCTGTGGGGTGTCAGGAAGTGTGAGGATGGCTCATGATAGAGCAGGGTTCAGATCTGTTATTCATAGGGTCACACTCAACTTGACAGCACCTAACAACCACATGCTAAGCATGCAGAGATGTGATGAAAGAGACTGAAAAACTACACAAAAGGCCAAAATGGAACTAGAGGCAGGAATTGAGTACACACAGTCGTAAGAACGGCACTGGTAGACTGACTTAACACACAGTGGCTGCAAACCCTCAATTTGTTAAAGATACAACATCTACCCAAGGTGATAAAGAGAATGCAATAAAATGCGGTAGGCTAACAGTGACAAGCAGAGGGTGGGGAGCCTGGCTCTTCTGTAACCAGGGCCTCACATCCCGTCACAGAGGCCTCAGCTTGCCTCCTGGCCAGTGAGAGCTGACTGCGGTGGTGGACAGGAGACACCCTCCCCGTATGTCACCACCACACGATGGTGTGACGGGGCGGCTGCAGCTTCAGGGCCGAGTTTTCTTTTGGAAGTGGACCATTGCTATTGGTATTCTCTTTCCTCTGATCCTTCCTATTTTATAGCCGATTGATTTTCTCCTGAATTAACTCACTTCCATTTTGGAAAGTCAGGCAAGGATAATGGCCAATATCCAAGGAAAAATCCTTTGAAGGAACCCACTTCTCGTTCTTCAAATTCATAAAACTAAGTCAGTGTGGGTACAACAAGCAGTGGGGTTAGAGGCCACGTGCACCGTTTTGGGGAGGGTGCTGAGTTCTAGTATCTGCGATCTGCCCTCAAGTTGATTCTGACTCACAACAGACCCCTATGATCCCAAGTATAACTGTCCCCTTGAGGGTCCTTGGCGAAAGTAGACCAACTAGACTTCACCTTCGAGTAACAGCCTAGTGGTTAGACCTGTCAGCTTTTGACTTAGCTGTCAATTGCAGACTCCTGTGTTACCCAGGCTCTCCCAAATGGTAATGCTATCTGCGGGGCATTGGGTCAAAGCATTCTGAGCTGTTAGGATCTCTGTAGTCTCCTGGGGAAGTTGTTGGAGCCACATTGAGGCTGCAAATGCCAGGCTCTTCACTGATCAGGCATGAAGCATCTTGTTTGTAGTCAAGAGTTCTCTGGAGGAAAGCTTTGTCTCTGTCCCTTCATCTTTGCTCATCTCTCCCTCATCTCCACCCAGAGCTGTGCAGGAGGTGACGGGGCAAAGAGGCATCGTCATCACTCGCTCCACCTTCCCCTCCTCTGGCCGCTGGGGAGGCCACTGGCTGGGAGACAACACCGCTGCGTGGGACCAGCTGAAGAAGTCCATCATTGGTGAGAGGCCTGTTCCCAGGGCGTGCGGGCAGAGGGTGCGCCCTGACAGACTCCTGAGGAGGGCTGAGGGTTGGGTGCCCCGGCTGCCCCTCTGATGGGCACTGGCTCTCTTGCAGGCATGATGGAGTTCAGTCTCTTTGGCATCTCCTATGTAAGTTCCCCTTGGGTCACACCTGGTCCCCGGGCATGGACAGCATCTTCCAGAATCCTGACAGTCTCTTGTTATTCCATCTTGCTGTAGACGGGGGCAGACATCTGCGGCTTCTTTCAAGACACGAATTATGAGCTGTGCGCCCGCTGGATGCAGCTGGGGGCCTTCTACCCCTTCTCCAGGAACCACAACACCATTGGGACCAGGGTATGATGCTCACGTGTACCTCTTGTCACTTCAGTCAGCGTCCACTATTGAACCACGGTGATTGAACTCTCCTTAGGGAAGTCCTCAGCATCTCTTGTCACAAAGCCTCCACCAGCCATATTCCTAGTGTTTCATAAGTTCATCTTTCTATTTAAACTTATTATTCCAAACAGATCCGATGAAGAATGTCTTTCTTGGAAATGCTATCAACTGGAAAGACTTCAGTGACCCCCTTCTAGGACTTTAAGAATGTTCTCTGAATCAAAGAAAAAATTAGATGTTAACTGTTGTCAGACTTAATGAGATAGGTTAAAGGAATAGAGAGATAGCAGAACATTATTTACAGATTTTCTCAGAAATTTAATTCACTCTTCTGACTAGAGCAAGAAATAGTATTTATCATGTCCATCTTAAGGACTTGGTTGGAAGGAATTACCAGAGTCTTGTTTAGCATGTCTCCTGATACATTTTAATGTTATTTTGTTTATTTTTTCTCAGTGTAAATAAAGAACATCTGATTAGTTAAAAAAAACCAAAACCACAAAAGGAACAAAGGATGTTTTCTGAACATCATCACAATAATTTCTAGTTTAGCTTGTAGAATCTTGTTTGTTTGGTTGAAAGCAGGAGTGGCATCCACTTCCTGAACAACATGCTTCCGGAAACTTTATGAACTTTGAGAAATGACAATAGTTACAAAAACACTTCAGGTATTTTATTCATAGGGTCGTTATGAGTCGTGCTTAACTTGGTGGCAATCAACCACAACAACAATCTTGTTTGGTACTTGTTTACGCTTGGAAGCAGGAGTGGCAGCTATTTCCGAAATAGCTTGCCTCCAGAAACTATGAACTTGGAGAAACGATGAAAGTTATAAAAGTGTTCAGATCTTTTGTTTCATAGGGTCGCTATGAGTCTTCTACGACTCAACAGCACTTGTTGACAACAACAACAACAAACAACTTGTTTTTAGTGCTTTTCTTTGGAGTTTCTTGCTCCTCCGGGCAAACTCGGAGTACTCTTCTTTCTCCTTTAGAGACAAGACCCAGTGTCCTGGAACTCCACGTTTGAGGACATCTCCAGGAGCGTCCTGCAAACAAGATACACCCTGCTGCCCTACCTCTACACGCTGATGCACCAGGCCCACGCGGAGGGCAGCACCGTGGTCCGGCCCCTTCTCCACGAGTGAGTGGACCACCGAGTCCCAGTGACTGATGTGTAATTCATTCCATGTGATCCAATAACTTCTGGATAATTCAACCTTTATGACCTTGGTGTCCCATGAATAATCATTCAGTATGGTTCCAGTGGCCCCTGGACGTCTACTTCAGTATATTCTGATAAGCCATATATAACCTGTTCTATACGCTGTTGATGGCCCATGTTGTTGTTCAGTGCTGTTGAGTCAAGTATGACCCACAGTGAACAACAGGTCTGAACCCTGTCCTGTCCTGTGCCATCTTCACACTTCCTGACACACTAGAACCCACTGTGGTGGTCACCGTGTCAGTCCACCTGGTTGAGGGTCTTGTTCTTCTTCGTCCACCCTCCACCTTTCCAAGCATCATCTCCCTCGCCAAGTAATAGCCCCTCTTAGCAATGCTTAAAGTACGTGAGGTGAAGCCTCATCACCCTTGCCTCCAAAGAGCACTCCGGCTGCACCCTCTCCAGGACATATTTGCTCGGTCTTTTGGCAGTCCATGGGCTGGCTATTCAGCTCTCTCCTCCAACATCACACCTCAAAGGAATCAATTCTTCTGTCATCCCTATGAATTGTCATCCTTGTTAATTGTCCATTGAGAATTTGATCTTGGCGGCCTGTGGGTATTGCATTCTGCACTATCCTGACCACCCGTGGACAGTCCATTCCACGTGTCCTCAGTACTCTGCAGAAAATACATTTTATTCCTGGATGACTCATGAGTAATCCATTACATATGGTTCTAATAATCCATGAATAACTTATTCTGTGATAATACATCAAAAATCCATTCTGCATGGTCCCGAAGACGTGATAACCCTTCTTTCTATCTGGTCCCAAAGACCCATGGCTGTCCATCCATATTGTGACAAATTAAGAAGAAAAAAAATCTTTATAATTCCATTAACATCTTGAATTGTATTTTGCCATCCACCTTTGGGGGCATGGACCATTTAATATTGCTCTTTTAACAGTACTGTTCATGACACAGGTTCTTGGTAAAAGGTTGTTGAGGGCAAACCATTTCCTCCGTAATGACACAGAATAATTTCTTTCTAATTCAGCATGCAAATGTTCATTTATTCTCTGGAGTAGTTTGCTGATGTGGATGTAGTCCAACCGGAGCTCGGGTCAGCGATGTAAGAACGCTGGGTCACTGCAGGAGTTGATGGAGGAAGACCACCTCTCACTTTAATACCTGACCTGGATGAGAGGCAGGTGTTTTGTAAACAAGACATGTCTGTTTAAATCCAGCACCACAGTGTTAGTTTCTTAGGACTGCAGTAACAAAGTACCACGATCTAGTGACGTAAAAGAAAGCAAGCAAATGCATTATTGCCTCATAGCTTTGGAGGCAGGAGGTCAAAGTCAGAGTGTCATGTTGATTTCTTCTGATGCCTTGAGAGAGGATCAGTTTCTTGCCTCTCTGAGCTTCTGGTGTTGACCAGCATTTCTTTGTGGCTTTTGGCTTAAGATCGTGTCTACTCTTGCCTCTCTGTTCACATAGCTCCTAGTCTCTGTGGATCTCTTCTTCTATAAAGACCCCACCAGATGGGCTTTTTGTTGTTAGGTGCCATAAAATGAACTCAGTCTCATAGCAACACTATGGTCTGCAGAATGACCATCCTCAGAAGCTTGCTGTGCTTAAGGCCATTGTGCTGGTCACTGTATTATTCCACCTCTCTGAGGGTCTTCCTCTCCTCTGCTCACCCTCTATATGCTGTGCTTTTGTAAGGACTGGCCCCTCCTGTCTTATTCTACCTCTCTGAGGGTCTCCCTCTCCTCTGCTCACCCTCTGCATGACGTCCTTTTGCAAGGACTGGCCCCTCCTGTCTTATTCCACCTCCCTGACAGTCTTCCTCTCCTCTGCTCACCCTCTACATGATGTCCTTTTGCTAGGACTGGCCCCTTCTGACAATATGCTCACAGTATGTGAAACAGTCTCCCTGTTCTTTTTTCTCTGGTTACACTTCTTTTAAGACAGATTTGAAGATGAACCTATCAACTCCAGATGACGTCATGTAGACTTACTCACATAGGTACAGATTCCATTTCCAAATAAGGCCAGCTCACAGGTACGGGGTCGGGTCAAGATGGCAGGATGTCAATTTTGGGGACACAGTTCAACCTATAATAGACATGAAGAAAGTGAGGCTGCCTCTGCCTGACTAAGCTGGACCTAGAGAAAGAGAAGATGGAACGTAAAATGAAAAGGAATTTCTGGATGGACCTTGAGCTCTGGCAGTTTCTCCAGGACTTGGACCTTGGCATGATGGGAGCCTGACTGTGGGGCCTTGGTTTCCCTTCTAGGTTTGTGTCAGACCGTGTGACCTGGGATGTGGATGGTCAGTTCCTGCTGGGTCCTGCCTTTCTGGTCAGCCCTGTCCTGGAGCCTGTGAGTAGAAGCTTGGAAGAACGATGGGTCCCGGTAGGAGGGGGTGGACAGGATGCTCAGGAGAAGGGGCTTCTCAGAAGCCACTGCAGGAACTTCCTTATTTGATCTCTGCCTCTTCCTCTCCTGGGGGTGGAGGTTGTCTCTCATGTGTTCTGAGCCACAGCTCACTCATCGTTAAAGTCCCCACACTTGTTATAATTCGTAGGATAATTCTGGAGAAATAAACTGATGCTGTCTTCAAAGACACAGTCCTCTCTCCATTTACTGGAATAAGAGCATAGGGCCTGACAGGTGCAGAAATATCTTCATCTCAACCTTTTCTAGTCTGTGAAACAAAACAAAACAAAACAAAACAAAACACTCTTTAAAAGGTGGATTCTTAAATGTTTTATTTCTTTTTCATTTGATATATTTATAGCACTAAGTATTTAACCTCTTAGGATTGTTAGTGTATCACTCTAGTAGTTTACTCTCTTGTTTAAGAATTAATTTGATTATATAATGCTTATTGGTAGAGATGCATTGACACTAGACTGAAAAATCAATGCACAAATTTTCATCAGTCCTTGTTCTCAGTCATTAAAATGTATGTAGATTTGTTGTTGTAAGGACATACGTGGACATATAAATATTATTTCCTTTATATTGTGCAATTTGTAGTTTTGCATTTTTTTCATTTATTGAAGTTGGTTTTTAACTGACACGTTAGTGAATATGCTCTAGTTTTGTATAAAAATAAAAACATTTTTTAGATTAAGAGGAAAAAAAATCCTCAGAACCACCACTCCCAGCAGTAAGCAAACCTTGGTTTTGCTTCCTATGACTTCTCTCTCCTTCTTGCCAAATTCTCACAAAGTAAAAGCTATTTCTTCACTTCCTTCGTTGATTATTAGACTTTGATTATGTGACTGACTGCCTCCACTCCGAATCTTGGTGGCATCTTTATATTTTCTGAATTATGGATACCATTACCCACGCAGCATCCTCTGCCAGACTGACCTCTGCCCAGCTCTTTAGAGCCTGGGTCACTGACGGAGCAGTGCTGGTTTCCTTTTCTTGAGTCCTGGATCCCAGAGGGCTTTGATGGAACCATTAGTTTTGAGGAGGCAAATTCCTACTGGAGAGGGGGGAAGGGAAGGCGAGCATACCACGTTACTGTCTTCCCAAGAAAAAGGAGTCGGTCCATGATCCATGAGAAGAGCTGGTGTTTTAACCCTCTTTCTTTGCAGCTTGTTGGTCTCCTTAGCCGTGAAGACTCAGCTGCGGCCTCACCTGCTTTGTGTTTCCTTTCAGAACGCCAGGGACGTCACAGCGTATTTCCCTGCAGCCCACTGGTATGATTACTACACGGTACGTTGTTTTCTGCTTGTTTCTACCACCTGGAAGCGGGGCTGAGCGCCAAGAGCAGACCTCAGGCCATGTCCTGGCTCCTGACCCACTTGGTGGTTGGCCTTGGGAGACTGTCTTTCCCCTTGACGGAGTGTCTTTCCCCGGGTGGGAGGGGGAGCATCTTTACTCTGGAGGGAGCGTCTTTCCTCCTGGGGAAGTGTCTTTACCCTTGGGGAAGCATTAATTCCCTTGGAGGAATAACTTTCCCCCTTGGGAGAGTGTCTTTATCCCTGAGGGAATATCGTTCCCCTTGCAGACCCAGCTTTCTCACCCCTTCGTGGTTCCCCATGAAGGAGCCTTGCACCTGTGATGTAAAGTGGACGTAGGGCCCCTTAGATATAGAGGGGTTACGCTGGGGTTAGGGAGTACTCTCCCACCACGTAGGGCAAGACATTAGCTGTCAAGGCTGGTTTGTTAAAGATAAGAATGCATAGTCTATGTTAGCAGATGTGCCCATGCTCTGTGGAGTGGTGACGTTGTTGGCTCGGTTGGTGGGAGTGAAGGGATGTGGTGAGGGTGATGGGGGTAGAGCGGGCACTTGGTTTATGTGAAGAAGTGTAAAGGTCATTCAGGGGTGTACAGGACTAGTGAGAATGCTTAGGGTGGCCCAGTCTTCTCTAGAAATACTGAGGGTCATAGACAGGCATGTGCATGGGAGTGGGAGTGACCCATTCTACGACCTCAGACTAAGGTTTTACAAAAGTGCCTGAAAGCAAGGATTCCTCCCAACATGTTGGACAAGGAGGGGCTTTCCCGACCCCTGGGTGAGTGTGGGGTTGCTGGAGTGCGCTGGAGGGCATTAGGACACATGTGCAAATATGTGTGTGAGTGTGGGGTGTGCTCTCCCTCGTCACCTCTGACCTTCCTCTGGCCCACAGGGTGCGTACACTAACAGTAGTGGAGAATGGAAGACTCTGTCTGCCCCTCTGGACCACATCAATCTCCACGTCCGTGGGGGCTACATCCTGCCCTTGCAGGAGCCTGCGCAGAACACCCACCTGAGGTGAGGACGGGCTGGACTAGGCCCCTCTCTGCAATCCCCTGACACACACACTCTGAAGTGAGGAGGGTGGGCTGAACCCCCAGTCGCTTTGACGCCCCAACACCCACACTCCCAGGCACAGCCTCATGGTGAGTTATTAGGAGTGTTCCCTGGCTTCCATTCCCTTGTTCTTGTTCTTTTCCTTCCCTCCCCTCTTCCTCCCCTCCCCTCCCCTCCCCTTCTCTTCTCCTCCCCTCCCCTTTCGTTTTCTCTTCTCTTTTCCTTTTCTCTTTTATTGCCTTCTCCTTTTCTTTTACAACTTTCTCACCCTTTGAACAATTATTAGCAATTTTTAAGATCCAAGCACATAAGAGGAGAGGGTTAAAAGAGATATTCCAAATGCAAACCATTATAGGAGATCAGTGCGGAGAGCTGTGTGACCTTCATACCCGTGCTGGGCAGGGTAGAAGTGCCCTGTTGAACGTCCAAGGCTACACATCTTTACAGGAGGAGAATGTCTCTTCTTTCTCCTGGAGCTGAGCTAGTACACCCAGACCACGGACATCTCCTTAGCAGCCCCACACTTAACCCACTGCGCCACTGGAGCCCCTCCCCCCACTAGCATTTCTAACACAAGGAGGCCTGACCAGCTATTATCTGGTTTTCCCCTAATAATGTCTTCTCAGTATTCTCAGACGCTCTCGTTGATGTTATTACATCGATGCTGGTGCTCAGATTCTTGGTTCCTACCTAGATCAGGGCTATTGGTTTTGTTTTGTGGTATTGCCAATATTTCAGGCTGTCTGTCTCCACTGACAGCCCTGATACCAGAGAGAGATGCCCCCACTGATGTTTGCCTTCAAGCCTAGAGAAAAGCAGGCCCATCTTTTGCCAGTAGCTTCTCTCACCTGAAAGTTGATGGGCACAGCTCATATAGCAATGGTCTCGGAGTCGCATTTCTTACTGTCTGACATAATTCTGGTTTCCCACAGTCGCCAGAACCCTCTGGGTCTTATCATTGCCCTGGATGAGAACAAAGAAGCCAAAGGGGAACTCTTCTGGGATGATGGAGACAGCAGAGGTGAGCCCTGCATCCTGATGCTGCTGTATGTGCAGCTTTGGTCCAGGGTCCTTCACCCCTGCGGGTCATCAGCTGAGGTTTGGATTGTACTGCCCAGGTGTACTGGTAGAGGATACAGTAAACCAGCAATCTAAACCCACTACTGTGGCATTAATTCTGACTCACAATAAGCTTGTTGGACAGAGAAGGAGTGCTCTGTGGAGTTTCCTAGCTGGTGTCTTTACACGAGCACATTGCCTTGTCTTCTCCCAGCTGCTGTGTTCAAACCATTGACCTTTCCGTTTGCAGCCTAACTTTTAAGCCATTATTACTGCCAGAGCTGTCATTTTATACCCAATGGGAAGCTCTTCCACTTTGAGATTCTCCACATAATTCTGATGTTATTTTCACTTTATGTTGTTGTTGCTATGTGCCATTGAGTCGCTTGCAACTCATAGCGACCATTTGTAGAATAGCCCTGAACCCTGCTCTATCCTATGCCAACCTTATTGTCCCTAACACACCCACCCCCATTACCCCAGTCACTGAATCAATCCACCTCATAGAAGATCTTTCTCTCTTGTGCTGTCCCTCCACCCTCCCCAGCATGATGTCCCTCTCCAAGGACTGGTCCCTCCTTACAACATAAACAAAGCATGTCAGACCAAGCCTCAGAATCCTTGCCTCCAAGGAGCAGCCTGGTTTCACTTTCTCCAGGATGAACTTTTATGTTATAAAGTTTTAAGAGTTCAGTTATTTAGCTTATCTTTACTTCTACTTTCAACCTGGTACATCGTCATTACCCCTTTCTGGAACCATGGATGGAAGAAAAACTCATCTCTAACTCTTATATCTCCACCTTCCACAAGAAATAAAATAGTGTATCTAGAAACATTTGAAAGAAATTGTTGGCAGGAATATACCTGTTATTCAGTGTGCACATTTCTCTGGATGCACTTATGAATTGATATGGAAGATGTAATTTCTAACGAGGTGATGAGGATGTATCCAATAGTGGCCCTCCATCTGTTGTTGATATCATTAGATGCTGCTCAGTCCCCTCTAACTCAGAGTGACCTTAGGGACCACGGTGCGAAATGTTCCCCAGCCCCTTACTATCTTCATAGTCACTGTGATTTTCGGATCCATTAATGTGGTCATTCTGTCTGTCATTCTCTTTGGATGTATTTCTTGTTGTCACATACCCTCCACTTGACCAGACAATACTCATTTAGTTCTGGTTTTTACTGTGTTTTTCTAGATCTACCTCACCAGCAAATTTTGTATCTCAAGCTTAGAAAACATATGTTTGAAGCAGAAGCTTGTAGAAGGAAGTTATTTCAAGGTTAAGGTAGAAAGGGAAGGGGGAAAGAGTGTCCTTTCTTTGGAGACTTTGGCTGTAATGCTGTCATTCTCAGCGTGCTTTTAGGGGAGTGGTTAATACATCCTTGTGCCTTCAGCAGACTCTGACTGGTCTTCCTCTGCTTTCAGACACTGTGGTCAACAACAACTATCTCTTCTGTGAGTTTTCTGTCTCACAGGTGAGTATCACTCAGGCATGAAGATGATGTGTGTACTTTCACCTGAGCATTAGCTCATCATGGAGTTGGTGTGAGTGATTACATTTGTGACGTGATAGACGTTTCTGCAGGCAGGTGCATCAACTTCAGTTTTTTATAGAACTCCTAATAATTGAAACAGGGAGAGCAATGCAACAATGAATGAATGGAAATCCAAAAGCTCTGTTAATGTTCATTAAAATGAGTAAAGTAAATGAAAAAAGAAACCTCCCAAGAATGAAACCATCTATGTTGGTTATCTGATACGGATGCAATCCAACAGTTAATGCTTTGAAATGCAGTGTTTGGGGTGTATTGCCTTCATGTGTGTGTTTAAGAACGTGTACACTGAGTTTTGAAGTTATTGTTAAAGATCTCATAAGGTGTATTTTATCCTTGGGCACACACTGGTAGAGAAAGCTAGGAAGCATTCAGAGGATGTGGAGTGTCTGCTCTAGGACCGATAATCTCAAGTTTCAGTGACCAGAGAATTTGTAATTGGCATCTGGTCTGTAATGGATAAGGACTGACTTGAATGCTGGTAACTGAACATCCAGTATGCAGTGGATTGTGGATGACCAGCAAGGCATCTGGTTTAAAATGAGTATTTGGTTGATTTGAATTTGTGTTTTGTTTGTTTGCTTTGCAGAACCGACTGGATGTGAAGGTTTTGCAGTCAGGCTACACTGACCTCAATAATTTAACATTTAAGGAGATTAAAATCTTTGGAACAGAGGAACCTGCCAACGTTATAGTGAAGCAGAATAGTGTCCCAGTTCAGGCTTCTCCTAATGTCACATATGATCATAACCTCCAGGTAAAATCCCAATTTTCCAAGATGTCTTCTTAACAATTCTTGGCAGTGTCTTTGGTTGATTAGCATGTGCGTGTTCAGTTACCATATTACCAAGGCTTGCTATTTGATTATATGACAGTAATTTCATAATTTTTTTCATTCTGCTGTAAGTTATAATTAGTTGCCTTGATACCTCATCCTTTTGAAAAATTGTATTACTACTGGTTTCCCAAGTGGTCAGAGATAAGGAACCACTGGTCGGAACAGATTGTAAGAGTTTCTCCAAATTTGTGGAGAATAAGTAAATTTCTTATCCTGTTATGATAGTGTATTAACGACAATTTAACTTTTGTGCTGACAGTGCACAAGGGTGATATGCAGATGATAAAGGTACAAATAAAGGATTGCCTGGTGAGTAATGTCGATGACACTGTCCAAGCCATTTAAAGGAGGGAACTTTGACAGTAATCTCACAGTGCATTTGAGGAATGTGGCATCAGAATCTGAGTAAGACTCATAAACAATCTGCATTATGCAGATGATATGACCTTATGTGCTGAAACTGGGGAGGACCTGAAGCATTTGCTGCAGAAGTTCAAGGACTGTAGTCTGCAGTGGACTGGAGCACATCAAGAAGACAAAGATTCTCACCACTGGGCCAATGGGCAGCACCGAGATAGATGGAGAAACGATTGAAGTTGTTAACAATTTCAGCTTGCTCAGCTCCACAATCCACAGTCTTGGCACCAGCAGTCAGAAAATCAAAAGACAAATTGCATTAGGGAAATGTCAGTCCAGAGACTAAGGTGCTCCTGGTAGAGGCCGTAGTCTTCTCAGTTACTTGCTCTGCACCAGAGTGCTGGGCAATAACTAAGATAACTGAGGATGATAGAAGAAGAATCAATGCCTTTGGGTTGTGATACTAGAGAAGAGTATCATATATACCATGGACTGCCAAGAGAACAAACAGGTCTGTTATGGAGAAGGTGAAACCAAGTTGCTCCTTGAAGGCAAGGATTTTGAAGCTCCGTCTCACCTCCTTTGGGCATGTTGCCAGGAGAGACCAGTCCTTAGAGAAAGACATCATGCTTGGAAGGGTAGAGGGACAGTGCAGTAGAAGACGACCTTGGATGCAATGGATTGACACCATAACTGGGATAATAGGGGTAGGTGTCTTGGAGGCTGTGAGACTGGCTCAGGATAGAACAATTTTAAGTGCTATTGTACTAGATTTTATCCTCGCCAATAGACAATATCATGATAGGTGGAGAGAAGTTTGAAATTGGCAACAATTTCATCTTGCTTATATCCACAGTGAAAACTCTTGGTGCCAGTAGTTAAGAAATCAAGATGTATCACATCGCTAAACTCTGTTGTCAAGGACTTCGCCATAGTGCTAAAGAGTAATGATGTCAACTTAAAGACTAAGGTGCATTTGATTCAATTTATGATCATTTCAGTTACCTGAAATGTTGGACATTGAATAGGGATGACAGAAAAAAAATCAATGCCTTTGAGTTGTGGTATGTACAAGAGGCCTAAATATCCCACAGAGTGCTAAACAAACAAACAAACAAACAGATATGTCTTGGAGAAAGTGCAACCAGGCTGCTCCTTAGAAGCAAGAATGGTGAAATTTTTTCTTACATACTTTAAGTATATTGTTGGGAGGGTCAAGTTCTTGGAAAAAGATATTATGCTTGGAAAGACGGAGGATCAGGGAAAGAGAGGAAGGCCCTCTACAAGATGATTGACATAGTGATTGAACTAATATAAATCAGAGAAAATGAGAATGGCATGTGGGTCACCAGGACTCATGGTAGACTCACCGGCACTTGACAAAAATAACTGTAGAATATGTATTCCGCTGGATTTCGGTGAATTCAGACGAGGCTATTGAATGAGAATTGTTATTGCTGATGTCAGGTGGATTTTCACTGAAGCAGGGAATGCCAGAAAGATGTTTACCTGTGCTTTATTGACAATGCACATTGGTCTTGTTTTCACAAACTTCTCAAGTTTCTTTTTTTCTGCAAAGGATGTGATTTCTCCTCCATATTTGATGGAAAGCTTTTCTGGGTACTGGATCCTTGGGTGGCAATTGGGTTTTTTTAGCTTTTTGTATATGTTGTCTCATTGTCTTCTTGCTCACATGGTTTCTACTGAAAATCAGTACATAATCTAATTGCTTTTCCTTTGTAGGTGACTTTCAGTTTTTCTTGTGCTGCTTTCAGTATATTATCCTTATCTTTTATTTCTTTTCAGTGAATTTAACTATGATATGTCTTGATGTTTTCCTTTTTGGGTCTGGTCTGGTGTTCGCTGAGCTTCCTGAATGTGGATTTCGTTGTTTGTTTTTCATAATATCTGGGAAGTTTTCTTCTAGTACCTCTTCCACAATTTTTTTAGTGATTTCCCTATCCCTCTCATATTCTGGTGTGTCAGAGACACGATAGAGCAGGGTTCAGAGCTACTGTGCATACAGTTGCTATGAGTCAAAAGCAACATGATGGCACATAACAACAACAACAATAACAACAACAGCAAAGTCCTTGAGGTTCTCTCCATTCCACACTGCAGCCCGGTAGGAATCTTGCCTTAAGGTAGTTCCCTGTTCCCAACCCTATTGTCCTGCTTTATGCATGAAGTGGCTGAGTGATGTGAAGATCAGGTGCTCTGCTTAAGCAGTTTCTCATGCATCTTTTCTCCTGAAGCATGCAAAGACAGTCAACTGTATTGATTAGGACAGATGATGTATAATATTGGAAAGGATATGAATTCCAGAACAATTAATTGTGCTCATGTAGAACCAACACTTAGATCAAGAAGCAGTCTTTTGAGTAGAGGAAGGATTTGAAACCAAGCATGGTGTGTGTCAGAGCTGTATCCTTTCACCGTCCGCAGCTAACAAATAATCCATGGCGGTATAAAGTAGAATACAGCACTAGGATTGGAGGAAGACTTCTACAAGATGCAGTATAAAAATGACACAACTTTGCAGTAAACAAAGCCTTAAAGTGCTTACTAATGAAGCTTAAAACAGCCATCTGTGTGGATTATACCTCCAAACAAAGAAAACAAAATTTCTCGTGATTAGACCAATAAACAACATGATAAATGGAGAAAAAAATTATAGTTGCTAAGAATTTAATTTTGCTTGGACCTGCCACCAGTGCCCATGGAAGTGACAGTTAAGAAAAACAAACAAACAAACAAACAAACCAAATACCCAAACACAAATTGCATTGGTCAACTAAATTGCAAGGGGCCCCTATATAGAGCATGCATGTCACTTTGGCGATTAAGGCTCCACTGATGTAGCCTGGGATTTTCACTTGTTTCATGTTGCTTTTGTTAAGTACCAACAAGCTGACAGTGACTTGTGTTGACTCTGTGAATGATGGATCTGAATCTTGGCCTACCCTCTGCCATTCTTATTATCTCAGATATTCTTTAACCCATTGATACAGGTTCTGTGTCGATTCATCCTGTGGACTCCCCTCACTTTAGGTGACCCCCCACCTTTCTAAGCAAGATGCTTTTCCAAGGGCTGGACATGCTTAAAGTATGTGAAATAAGATGTCATCATCCTTACCTATAAGGAATACCCTGGAAGTCCTGGGTAATGATGGGCAAGGTCCAATGGTGATTAATTTTATGAAACATAATGCATGGGAATGATTGTGTGAATGAAGAATAGTGTGAAAAACAATACACACGAACTTTGTAAGCAAGCCAATAAAAATAGTAAAAAAAGAGCAGAGAGTCAGGGAAGGGGAAGCAGACCGTCAGTGGATGGATTAACACGGTAACAGCAGCACTGGGTTTACGCCCAGCAGAGATTGTGACGATGTCGCAGGATTGGGTTCAGTTCAGTTGTACATGGTGTTCCTATGAGCTCACTTGATGGCACATAAGACAGAGACTCAGAGAACCGCAGTAATCTGTCTACACTTCCTCAGTGGAATGAGGATGAGAGCCCACCACCTTGTGATTCTGGTTTCCTAGTCCTTGCTCTAACTCAAGACGGAGGGCAAGCATGGTTTGGGCGTACAGGGTCAGAAGAGAAGCCGCAATTGCTTGGTGTTTTGTGTGACGCTACCTGGTGAGATGCAGAGGGAGCGTCCCGGGTCAGGAGGAAGAAGATCAGAGAAGACGAGAACAGCAGTGAAGGCGGGCGGAGAGTTGATCTGAGTCTGCACCGGGCAGTCCAGCCGCAGCCTGAGGCTGACACCAGTGACAATGATTCCTCCAGGGTTTTCAGCAGACATGCTCCAGGGGTCCAGAGCATCATATTGATTCTATTTCCTGTCCTACAACCCCTTCAGAGCTTATAAGGTCTTGGGCCAAAGATGACTGTCCTTGTCCCTTGAACTCCTGCAGGTTGCTGTTATCACAGACCTCAGCCTTGCCCTGGGAAAGGCATATACCGTGGAGTGGAGCCTGAAGAAGGATGTAGAGAAGATTGACTGCTACCCTGATGGGCAAGGTGTATCCAAGGAGAACTGTGAGGCCCGGGGCTGCGTCTGGGAGGTAAGCGCACCTACGGCCTTCATGGACTCCTCTCTGCTCCATTTACGATTTGTGTGAGCGTCACAGCATGACCACTGCAGACCTTCAGAGGGATGGCTTCCCAGGAACCTCAAGCTTTATCTAGACAGGAGCATAGGTGGGGAGAGGAGAGACGCAGCTTCACAAATAATTTTTCCAGGAACCAGGAGTTTAAAGCCCTATGTCATTACTTTGCAGTTTGCATCCATAAGCATTATGGTCTCAGAAACCTTCTGGGGCAGGTCCAGTCTGTCCTAAAAGGACACCGTGATTCTAAATCCACTCAACAGTACTGAGCTTTGGGTTTGGATTTCATTATGTCACCACGCACCCACCTCTGCAGTCGAGTTGATCTAGCTCACAGCCACCTTGTAGGACAGAGTGGACTGTCCAGTGGGGTGTCTGCAGCTTTAACGCTGTGGAAGCAGATCACCACCTCTCTTCCCATCGAGCACTTGGTGAGTTCTAATGGCCAATCTTGTGATTCGCTGTTGAGTGCTTTAACCACACTGTATGTAATAGAGAAACAATAACCAGGTTAATATCCAAGCAAATGAAGGCAGGGTGTCTTCCTCTCTCTCCCTGTAAATTCCTTGTCCAGCCTGGTCTCTCCAGTGGCCTCTAGCACCACATGCTAATCATGACGTTGGCCTCTCTCTTCTTGCAGGAATCCAGCACTCCGGGGGTCCCGTTCTGCTATTTCGTCACTGATCTGTACTCTGTTAGTAACATCCAGTACAGTACACAGGGGGCCACCGCTGACATCACCTTAAAGGCTCCTGTTTATGCCAATGCTTTGCCTTCAACTCCTGTGGCCTCCCTCCGCCTGGCTGTCACCTACCATCAGAATGACATGTTGCAGTTTAAGGTAAGCACAGGGCTGTGGGTGGACTGAGGACTAATTTTTAAAAAAGTTTATTGATTAATATTTAATCATTCATACACATCATGTTTTATACATATGCTTTGTGTTTCCAGTCATTCATATCTATTATATTTTCTATCATTAATTACCTTGTTCTATGCCTATTTTCATCCTGTCTTTTCAAGGCCACGTTGAACTTTTCCCATTATGTCACCTCCCCCCCAACCCCACCCATTAAACTTGGCTGTCCTGGTGATTTTTCCCCGTTCCCCATTTTTTGCCCCATTCTCCCCTTCTCTCTTCTGCACATTTACCCACATCTTACTCAGTTATCTTCACCTCTACGGGGAAGTTCATTACTAGCTCCATTACATTCTGCTGTGGCCAGAGTTGTTGCTGTTGCCATTGCACTGATTCTGACTCACAGCAACCCTGCAGGAGAAGGTAGAACTGACCATAGGTGTCCACAGCGGGGACCTTCACACAGGCAGACGGTCCCCGCTGTCTCACACAGCAGCTGGTGGCTTCCAACCGCTGGCCTTTCAGTCAGCAGCCGCACGCTTAGTCAGTGTGCGACGAGAACCCAGGTCAGACCAGTGTGTTTTGTCTAAAAGGCTCTGTCCTCCTGTCATCACCTGGGTTGTGCCTTCCGTCCCCTTCTCACCTGCAGACAGGATGCTGCGTCCTCAGCAGAGCCCCACGTCCCACGAGGACACACGGTGGGATAGACATGACCCCCTTACGTGGGATTCCAGCCTTCACTCCCACCCCTTCCTGCTCCTGCTCTTCCTGCCTTCCACTCTCCGCCCCTCGGCCCCATCACTGCTCTGAGCCCCGGTACCTGCTGCTTCTGTGTCCAGGATGAGTTTATCTCCTGTCTGTGTTGGTAAATGCAGCAAAGCTTTTGGAACACAGCCTATATCTTGTCCAGGAATCACCCTCTCCTCCTCGCAGAAACACCGCAAGTCTCGTTCCTTCCAAAGAGCTCGGTAATAGCATGACCGGACATCCCTCTTGTTAGCCCGGGAATTTCTTTAAAGACCATCAAATAAAACCAAATGCATTGACATTTACTCAATTCCAATTCAGAGTGACCCTGCAGGACAGTTTACAGCTGCACATGTTGTTGTTAGGTGTCGTTGAGTATGACTCATTGTGACCCTCAAAAGCAGACTTGACACCTGTCCCATCCTGTGCCATCCTCATCATCTCTGATATACTTGATATCACCCATGTTGTTGTTGTTGTTATGCGCCGTCGAGTCGTTTGTGACTCATAGCGACCCTATGTACAACAGCCCTAAACTCTGCTCTGTCCTGTGCCAATCGCACTGTCTCTGACACTCCCATTCTGATTACCCCAGTCACTGAATCAATCCACCTCATAGAGGCTCTTCCCGTTCTGCGCCGTCCCTCCACCCTACCAAGCATGATGTCCTTCTCCAAGGACCTGTCCCTCCTTACAACATGTCCAAAGTATGTTAGACGAAGCCCCAGAATCCTTGCCTCAAAGGAGCAGGCTGGTTTAACCCTCTCCAGGATGAATCTGTTTGTTTTCTTGGCACTCCATGGTACATTCAGTACTCTTCTCCAGCACCACAGCTCAAAGGCATCAATTCTCCTTCTGTCCTCCCTAGTCATTGTCCAACTCTCTGATGCATAGGGTTGCCAAAACTGTCAATCCTTGCAGAAGCAGCCTCTTACAGAAGTATATTCTCTCTCCTACTGAGAAACCTTCAACCTTTCAGTGAATGCCTGATTGTTTAACCACTATGCTACCAGTTTAGTTTCTCTAATTTGGAATCACACAGAAAAAGACAGTGAAACTATGGAACCCAGAACCTGTGGAAGGCTGAGACCTGTCAGAGAAGGAAATGGCAAACATTTTCCACTATTAAAAACAATGGAAAATGATGACGGCAACCTTTCAGAAATGGAGTTTATGTGAGAGCTGGAAGCGTGGGTGTCCTGAGGGGTCCGGCTCCCCCAGGTTTCAGTGCCTCTTTGAGAGTGAAATGAGTTTTTACTTTAGACAAGGGCAGCTAGAATTATTACTGTCAAATAGAGTTTATGGTTTTGAAGAGGTGTGCTTTTGCAATTCAGAAATATTTTCAAGTGTTAATTAATATTCACACACCAAGACACAAGCAGGAGCATTTATAATCATCCACATGAAATGATTTCATAAGGCAGCGACAATGTCAACATACATGTGCTGGTTTCATACAGGCCTTTTGATTAAGGTGAGGACAACTCAGGTAAAAATGTTAAATAAGACCTTATAAACATTATATGACACTTTGCTTAAATCTCTGTTATCATGAGTTCACAGAAAACAAACACAGCAGCTGGATTCTTTGGTAAAGACATCACGACCCTGCTAAGAAAGGGGTTTTAAGAGAGTTGTCTTTGTATAAAATCTCTTTCCTCCTGCCCTAGATTTATGATCCCAGCACCAGCCGTTATGAAGTCCCCGTGCCTCTCAATATACCTGGGGTGCCATCCAGCACCCCTGCGGGTCGGCTCTATGATGTCGTCATCAAGGAGAATCCCTTTGGGATTGAAATTCGCCGGAAGAGCACAGGCACCGTCATGTAAGTGGCTCCCCCTTGTTGGGACTTCCCTGGACATCACTGCTGGCACCGTGTGTCCTGGAAAGTGTCCCTGCTCTGACTGTCCCCATTCAGTTCCAGATTTGTAAATAAGTTCTTTCCTGCAGGGCTGGCTGTTCCTTTGGGAAATTCTTAGCATCATGGGAATATAGGCCATTGCATTCATCTGGACCTCACTCAACAAGTGTCCATGGGGAGAGTCCACACAAGGTGCTATGCCAAGCACCATAGGTGTTCACAGAGAGTAAATAGCAAAGATAAGTTGAGTTAAAATACAGATAGACATGGGAGAAAGGACAGCTCGGTAGGATAGAAGCACCAGGTATGTGGGGTGTGGAGGGGACCCTCCTTTGGAGAAGGACTTCACGCTTATTAGAGTTGTTGGTGTTGGGTGCTGTAGAGTCGGAAACAACCCCTAGGTGACCCTCCAGTGGGTTTTTAGAGGCAGTTAATTTCACAGGAGGAGATTCAGCAAAAATGAGGAAGAATCTCAGTTAGCTGACTGGCAAGTGGCTACAACAGTGAGTCCCAGAGGCCGCTGGACCAGCAGGACCTCCTCCTGCTGTGAATCGGACCAGTGTCGTAGCACCTACAGCCCTGCTGCTGTGCATGGTGTCAGAGAAGGACTCTTGAAGGAAGTGACGCTGGAAATAGGATCTGGAGAGAAAAGGAGCTCTTCAGGTGCAGACCAGAGCAGGAGGGACCTTTATCATGCAGATAGTGAAGGCATAAGCCATGACACTTGGGAACATCTGGTATTTAAAGAGCAGAAAAAGATTGATGTTTGTATCTCAATATCAAGAAAACAAAAATCCTCACCACCAGGCCAATAGGCAGCATCATGATAAATACAGAAAACATTGAAATTGTTAATGATTTTATCTTGCTTGGATCCACAATCAACATCCTTGGTACAAGAAATTGAAAGAAAAAATGAGTTGCATTTGGAAAATCTGCTGTCAAGGATAGAGCGATAAAGAGCAACAGTGTCATTCTAAAGACTAGGGTGCAGCTGATCCAGACCATGGTCTTCTCAATTGCTTGCCATGCATCTGAGAGCTGGCAGTGACTAAGGATGATTGAAGAAGAATTGATGCCTTTGAGTTGAGAAGCATCTTGAATATACTATGGACTGCCAAGAGAACAAACTGTCCTGGAGAGGGTGAAACCAGGATGCTCCTTTGAGGCAAAGATTTTGAAACTCTGTCTCACAAACTTAGGCAAGTTGTGAGGAGGGACCCATCCTTGGAGAAGGACACCACAGTGGAAGAGCAGAGGGTCAGCACAGGAGAGACGGCGGATTGGGATTGGGATGGATTGACACAGTGACTGTGGCAATGGGTCAGGTGTGTTAGAGATGATGAGGTTGGCTGAGGATGGGGCAGGGTACAGAGTGTTGTTCATAGGGTCGCCATGAGTTGCGGAGGACTTGAGAGCACATCACAATAGCAACAACGGCAAGTAAGAGGTGGTGTCAAGAGAAGTGAAGTAGTATACAGGCTCCAGATCAAAGGTGACCTCAAAGTTCATAATACTTGGTTGAGAAGTACCCGAAAATTGTAAACAGACAGAGGTAGGATGTGAGTTTTTATACTGCTGTAGGATGCATTCTGCAGAGCTCAAGTGCAAACTGCAGGATTTTCAAGGCTATGATTAGTCAGAAACAGGGCACTTCACGAAACAAACTTCAAGGTGTGGGTGGGTGGGTTTAAGGTGCCAGGCAATGGTTGCTACTGCAGTGCTTACTCTGGTGTTATGTGGAGAAGAGATCAAAGGGGTGAAGAGAGGCGGTGAAGCCTGGCCTGAATAAAGGATCAACAGTAAGGCATGATTTGGTTCCATATTTTGGAGAAAATTGCAAGATGGCAATAGAAATGGAAGTCTCACCCTAGGTTCTGAGCAAGGGCACCTAGGATTGCTTCGGTCCAGCGCAGTCTGTTTTGTTTGGAGAGGAGCAGATTCTGGGAAGGACAAGTCATGAACGCTCTTAATCTTAGGAGTGAGCACCTTGAACTTGTTCTCCAACCCTCCCCTTTTCTGTGTCCCAGCTGGGACTCTCAGGTGCTGGGCTTCACCTTCAACGACATGTTCATCCGCATCTCCACTCGCCTCCCCTCCCGCTACCTCTACGGCTTTGGGGAGACAGAGCACACGGCTTTCCGGAGGGACCTGAACTGGCACACGTGGGGCATGTTCTCCAGGGACGAGCCCCCAGGGGTAAGGAGCAGAGTTCGGGGTCTGTGTCTCTGCCTCTCTTCATCACACCACACACACCTCACACTGCTTGTCCTCAGACTCAACGTGGATGACCACACCCTGCTCCTAGAACGTGATCCAGTTCTCACACGCCTTTGTTTGTCATGCATTTAACTTATGTCTCAGAGAAGACTGGGCCCACCTTCCACTGTCCACTGCTGTTGGGTTGATTGCAGCTTGTAGTGAACGTGTAGGTCAAAGCCAAGCTGCCCCTCCCGAGGGTTTCTGAGGCCACACTCGTTATGGAAGGAACCTGCCTCGTCTCTCTCTCGGGAAACTAGTGGGTTTAAACCACCAGCTTTTCCGTTTTCAACCCAGTGTCTAATGCAGTGAGCCACTGGGGCCCCGTGAACCCCTCTAGTGACTGCTTTTCATTGTGGTTGTCAACCGTGCTGTCTTTTAAACTCCTGTCACTTCTTCCCCGCCTCCCCCAGTACAAGAAGAACTCCTACGGTGTGCACCCCTACTACATGGCGCTGGAGGAGGACGGCAGTGCCCACGGGGTGCTCCTGCTCAACAGCAACGCCATGGGTAAGAGGGTGGCTGCGGCTTTTGTCTGAGCCATCTTTCTTTATAACTGCCAAAGCTTCTGCATTTGCTGTCTGTTGTGTACGACAGAGTTGGAACCAACCCACTGCTGACCCTTCAGTGGGTTTTCAGAGACAATTATTGGGGAGGTGATTGCTCATCTGTCTCCCACAGAGCAGCTGCTGGCCTCGAACTGTGTGTCTTTGGGATTGCAGCACAGCTTCTTGCCACTAGGCCAACAGAGCTCCCTGTCTAAGAAGTCAAAATTGTCATCTGGTTGATAGTATTTTTCTTGTTTATTTGTTTTGTTTATTTTTTTTCTCTGTTCTTGTTTTGTTGAGTTCCAGAGCAGGTAATAATAAGAACTAATCTAACCCTTTGAAAAAAAGGTCCCTTAAGAGGGAATTACTTAACAAGGCAAGTCTCTCAATTATGCTTCCTGGATATCAACCCACGGAAGCATCTATTGTGCAACCATGGGCTGAGCCCTCACTGTGGGGAAGCCCAATAATGAATAAACTGAAGTTTAGAGTGTTGTATGTCATTTTAAGTACTTTTAACAAAATACATTGATTTTGTAAGATATTACCATTAAAGGAAGCTGGGAAATGTGTACATTGGAACTCCCACAACCGTTTTTGTAACTCTTTGTGAGTCTTAAATTACTCTGACATTTTAAAAGGGTATAATAGTGTAGTGATCAATCATATAATAAACACAAAAAATCAAGAAGTGAGACCCTCTGATTTTCACTTAACATCTTCAACTCTGTAAGGGTGCAGAGTAAAATACCCCACTTGTATTTCCGGGCAGAGCAGGAGAGACAAGGTATAAATTTCAGAAGGTATACCTCACCTTGGTGTCATCCAATTTGTTTGGTGTCCTCTTATACTTTTCAGATGTGACCTTCCAGCCCATGCCTGCCTTGACGTACCGCACCACTGGAGGGATTCTGGACTTCTATGTGGTCTTGGGACCCACCCCAGAGCTTGTCACCCAGCAGTACACTGAGGTAAGAAGGAGGTCAGTGGGACCAAGTGTTACTCCACACATCTGTATCATAAACCATCTTAGACAAATTTGTTTTTATACCTCCCAAGTGATAACAGGAATTGTGTCCTTTCTTGGAGACAGGGAGAGTCTATAGAATAAAGGGCAGTAAACACCTAGAAATAAACGTTAAACTTGTAGCCTCTTTAAGCATGACAGAGTTATAGAAGTGGTGGTCGTGGTGTTGATGGTGCAGAGCTGGTGGTGATGATTATGGCAATGTTGCTGATGCTTGGGGTGATGATGG